GATTGAACCGAAGTCAAAGAGATGGGAAAAAAGCAGAGAAAGAGCTCGAACAAAATAAGGAGCATACCAGTGTGGGCACGATCGAGGCATTAAATGGTATGGGTTTTCCCACGACTGTCTCTCCGGGCCTCAGCTACAGCACTCGACCGATGTGGCTCCAGATCTCGTCGTTCGGTAGCTCATCCGGCAACGCGCGGTCCGGGACCGACCGGCCACCGTACATCCACATCGGGTGGGTCCTCTTCGCCAACGACGCAACTCGGCGGCAGTAAAGGGTGTGGAACACCCGCACCCCGTCAAGGCCGCACCTTACGAGCTTCTTGAGCTCCCCCTCGATGGCCTCCGCCTTATGCCTCTTTGTGCGGGCGCAACCTCACGACCAACTTTTTTGCTTCACCGGCCTCCTGCCGGTGAACGCCGGAAACGGCGCCTCCACTGGGTTCCTAATATAGAACCACTCCCCATGCCATCCCCAGTTGGAGTCACATGGGGAGTACGCGGGATATGAGCCTCCCACACTCGGCTTCCTCTACAGGGCAAAGCCTCCCACCGGTGTGACCTAGGCCGAACTTCAGTCCGCCATGGCTCTCCCAGAGAAGAAAAGACAGAAGAGATCCACGTGCGGCTCTGTCTCGAGGAAGGCCTCGCAGACGATGACAAAACCAGCGATATGCAGCACCCCCATCGGGTTGAGATGCCGCAGCTCCAGAACCCACTCGTTGAGGAGCCCGCGCAGGAACCAGTGCGCGGGGTACCCAAGTCCGCGCTCATGAAACGTAAGGAAAGAAACCACCTCATCAGGACGAGGTTGCGGGAACTCCTTCATGGGGACCCACCAGTGTGACACCTCCTGCGGTGGTAGAAACCCCTTCGCGACGAAAGCCTCCAGCACCGACTTCCTCACGGTGGACGACCGTCAGTCCGACATTTCGCTCCGAATCATGAAGGATCGGTGAGTTCCTCTCTTCTCCCTCACTCTCTCCCCCTTCTTTCCTAGAAACCTCCGCGGCTCTCAGGAACGCTCATGGCAAAAAAGAAAGAGAGAAGGCGGCAGCAGATGAAGAGCAGGCAAAAGAATGAAACGAAAACCCTCTACCTGCTCCTACTTAAAGGAAAGGGAATAGCGGTTAAGGAAGGACGCGCCGATCGGGGAAGGCAGAATGCAGAGCGAGAATTTCTCTCTCTTTTCCATTTAATGCAGATGAGATGTGCCCTGAACCGATGAGACATGCCCTGCTCGATGGAATGGCTCCTGATCGGACGGGACATGGCCTGGCCGTGGCCCACCACTACCACACGATCAACCACTACCACACGTCGGGCACAGGAACCGAAGCGTCACCACGAGCAGGCAGCTCCCCGCTTCCCCAGGCCAGGCCTGGGGAGACCGAAAAATGAAATCTCCGCTGGGAGACCAACCGATCCCCGAGCCGATCGAATTGCACAGGATAAACACAGAGACACAGGTAGGAAGCGAAGGGACGTCCCATGTAGGCCACGCCGACTCCGTCACGAACAACGAGCATGGGTCCCGGTCGGACATTTTCGATTGAAGATCTCCGAGCCCCGTCACTCCAGTCATCAAGGTAAACATTACCAAAACCCCCTCTATTTCTTTATAAATCATTCATACATCCATATGCGCATTCATTTCATACGCCTGCGCCTCCTGGACGATTCAGGCCCTGAACCGCCCGGGGGCTCGGGAACTAAGCATCGCACGTGCAGCGAAATGCACCAGAACACCCTGTGTTGCGTCACGAAGCGACGGTTGCCTCATTCGACATGGGCAACCAATAGAGCCAGGGGAGAAAACCATAGATGAGCACCGTGCGGCCCTAGCTCGGTCCGGTAGACCGGGTCATCTCAACCTTCTTGTTCGATCCTGAACCTCTCGCCAGGCCCACATAATCTCCATCGAAGGGGAGGCTGTTGGCCCACCCGGGTTGGTCTCCGGAATGACCTAGGCATCTGTCGGGTTGCAGGTAAAGGAGTAGTGGAATGTCACAAGAGGGCTATGCTGACCCCATCATGAACAATGGACCCCGATTCCACTCGATCACACCCATTAGCGAACTCACCGAGCTAGTCTTCGAGCCCGAGCGATCGGGACAGGCGACGAAACTCAGCCCCTCGGTTGTGAGGAACCGAGGATGGGGTAACGCACAATACTCACATCGACCCCCACGAAGGCCCGATAAGGGCTTGGGGGCTCAAGACAAACGCCAAGGACGGCGACCTCGAACTCGCCAGATCCATGACTCTAACTCGCCCGGTCCCACGGTGCGCACCGACGCTAGGATCCGCGAGCATCGCCTCGTCGATCTTTAACCAACTAACTATGCTTCAGCTTTAAAATGGCTTCACTTCCAACTGCGCTCCAATAAACCTGGGACCACGACTCCTAAACTCGCGTAACGGCTTCACTTATGACTGCGCCCCAATAAACCTAGGACCACGACTCCTAAACTTGCGTAACGGCTTCACTTCCGACTGTGCTCTAATAAACCTGGGACCGCGACTCCTAAACTCGCGTAACGGCTTCACTTCTGACTGCGCTCCAACAAATCTGGGACCGCGACTCCTAAACTCGTGTAACGGCTTCACTTCCAACGACGTCATACGGCTATAGAGCTCCGGCTCGACCGATTCCCGAACTAACTAAACTAACTCTCTCGATCCACGGCGCGCACCGACGCCTGGGTCCGTTCGTGGCTCCACCTCGCTCGATCCCACGGCGCGCATCGACACCAAAGATCAGTGAGCTCTGACATGACCAAACCGAGCTATCTCCATCCGTGGCACGCACCGACGCCAGGGTTTATCCCGAACCAACCTTCTCACCCGATCCACTGCACGCACCGACGCGGGATCAGTAAGATCTGTCTCACCCCCGCACCTAAAAACCACCTCGGCTGCGCAATGACGCCGCGGTTAAACAAAATTCCATCTCAAAAACTAAAAACACGCACGCCCGCTGAAACAAAACCCCCCAGACGGCTCGGCCCGAACCGCCGGGGCTCAGGGGCTACACCCGTGGGTGCGCTCGCGCGCACTCGCCGACACAATAGAAAAAACTCCCCCGTCGACACAACAAAAAACTCCCCAGCCGGTTCTGCCCGAACCGCCTAGGGGTTCGGGGGCTACACCCGCGGGTGTGCTCGCGCGCACCCGCCGACAAGACAAACATCCTCCGGACGATTCTGCTCAAGTCGGGGGCTCCTGTCGGGTTCATAAACCCGGGGTCCCTCAGGGACCGGCTTCCACGCTGGGGCTCGGCCCAAGAAAAATAGCATGTAGTTCATGGGCCGGCCCAAGAGTCTAAAAACACAGCGGGCCGGAAGGACGGTCCGGTCACCGACCGAAAGGTCTACCCAAAGGGACAAGCGCCCGCTCGTCAACTTCTTCGGTCCACCTCTCCGACCGGAGCACTCGCCTCGGGCACTAACCACCTCCAGGCGGTCTCTCCGATCGGAAGGCCTACCCCAAAACGTTGCTTCCTGCTCCGACCCCGTGTCTCCGATCGGGGACCCCGTAGGAAGCCTGCTTACCGCTCTTCTCCAACTGGCGCACCCAGGGCCGACTAGGGCCATCCGACAGGGGACGCCCGCTCGGAAGGGACCAGGGGCGAACGGAGAAGGCAGCGCACAAGTCAAACCACGATACTAGGGACAATACCCTGTACGCCTGCGGGAACTGTGCTCCACAACCGCCCTGACACAAACAGTATTATAGGCGCCGACATTTGTGTCTAAAGTATTGTATGCGCCGTTGGACTCCCGTACGACAAAAAGCCCCCCACATGCCTCTGGGCATCGATGGCGCTATAGGCACCAGGACTCACCATACCTGGTACATGTGATAGGGCTCCTCACATATCAACAGTATTTTGTAGGTACCGACATCCACCCTTCCTGAAGAAGCCAATGCAAACCTCCCATGTGCACCTGACATTCTACAACGACATCAACAGTATTGTGGGCGCCTACCATCATCGCTACCCTCATTCGGCGTGGGCAACAAGACTTAGAAACATCCGTACTCTCTCCCTCTCACCTGTAAAGCCACCCATTTATCTATAAAAGGGGATGCGCTCCCTCCAACAAAGGAGATCGATTCCTCCAGTCGGCTTCTTCAAGTTGAGATTCACTAGATCGATAGCTCGCAACCTTTCAAGCACATGCTCAAACACCTAGCTCATAGCGGGGTTCCGGTCGTCCTCGACCCTTCCGGTCGGACCCGACCGGGCCTCTTGTACACCCCACCTTTCTCCTTCTCGTTTGTAACCCCACTACAGACTTTGAGCACCTGGGCTCAGGAATAAAGTCACCGACCGACCCAAACTGGACGTAGGGCATGTTGCCTGAACCAGTATAAATCATGTGTCATTGAGTGCTGGGCCACCTCTGATCACAACGTACAACAAAACTACAAATATTCATTAGTTGGTCACTTTCTGTACCGACACGAACAATCAATTGAAAATAGAAACAAAAAAAGATAACCCAACCGGGACTAAAGGGCCGGCCCACGTGGCCAGGCCGGAAGGCCTCTTTAGCCCCGATTGATATTACCAACCGACCTTTAGTCCCGGGCGAGAAACCGGGACTAAAGGAGAGGGGCCCTTTAGTCCCACATTCGTGCTCCCGGTTGAAAAACCGGGACGGAAGGGGTTTTCTAACCGGGAGTACAGCTCGTTTCTGTACTAGTGCTATAAGTGAACTTTAATTTGAGAAAAAATTTGGATCACAGATGAAGTTTTATTTTGTGACGGAGGGAGTATATATGAATATTTGAATGCTGCCCCTAGCTAGCTTAGCTAGTTTTAGAGAGAAAAAATACTACACCAATTAATTAGTAAACTCACCATGTTATTATTTACGTTGTTTTAAAATCAATGGATATACTATCTGACATCAAACTGAAACTTTGAAACAAAAAGATCAGAGAATCGTGATGTACTCCCACGTACGTACGCTGCAGTGGATGGTGTCGAAGATTTATGTGCCGGCGACGGAGAAGTTGGCGTTGGTGGTCTCGGCGCCTTCTTCCTGCAGCACGGTGGCCACCTCATGCAGCTTGAAGGGTCGCTCCAGGCTGCTGATCAGCACCACGTCCAGGCTCGACACGTCGCTGTGCTGCCGAACCTCCACCACCGCCGGCGCCGCCACAGGCATGTGGTCACCGGCTTCTTCTGATGACCCCGCCCCACCGCTCGCTGTGGTCCTCGTCGCCGCCGATGTCGAGGCACCACCTCCTCCGCCTCGTCTATGCCAGCAGCAGCCAAGAGCCGTGCAGAGGTTCTCTTCTGCCGCAGCTCCTCCACCCTCTCCTTGAGTTTCTTTATGTACGTGGCTGCTTCGTCTAGGCTACCCAGTTGAGTCATAGCATCCTGCACTTGTGCATACATTGTATACTAATATTGTTAGGGCCATCTATACCAGCTGCTGGGTTTCTGAATCTTCACAAATTTCACAGAATTTTTACCGACCAATATTCAAAACTCGCACGGGATAAAATAATGCTTCGCAACACACACACGTCACTTTAAAGAATTAAATTAATATTGTGGTTTTTTCCTAAAAAGGGAAGCTACATACCGATGGTAAAGCAACATTCTCTCCACGAAAATTACTAAATCTGTGTTCTCGTATAAGCCAATATAGCTTTCATCAATAATATTTCATGTGACGACCTTGCAGGTCCGAATTAAAGGGCTCAACAAGCTAAACAAATAGAAATTCCAGTAATTACTAGCGATTTATTAGCTTCGAACAGTTACGCGCGGAATAGGATAATCTTCTTCAGACTGATGAAGCCACATTAAAGACATGTTTAGATCAATCAGGACTCAAAATTAGTCCAAATTAGCCGAGGTTGACTAACAATTAGTTGAAGATTTCTCTACAAATCTAGTCCATCTATATTAACACTTTTTGATAGGCTAGATCTGTTTTTTAGCTAGTTAACAATTAACCCATGATATCAAACAGACCCTAATTCGAATACACATCACCTCGGAGGAGTAGAGGTTTTTTGGGATGAGCGAGGCGAGCTTGACGCAGAGGCTCTTCATCTGCTGCCTCCTCTCGACCTCCTTCCTCTCCACTGCCATCGTCGTTGTGCTGCCGCTGCCACTGCCGCTGTTGTTACTCATGATGCTTCTGCTCTTCTTCGCACTCATCTCCATCTATTGATCTCTCCGCCCGAGTCCTCTCAATCTCTATCTAATGTCTCTAGATCTGTGTGTGCCACAGCACCGGCACTCCGACAGGGATAAGAACTGGTATAAAAAGAGGCAAAAGTGACGGTTACTGGTCTAAAAAAAGCTAGAAACAGTGGCAGGAAGAGCTTACGTGCACGCAGAGGTAGGTGCAGTAGGCATATGCATGAGCATGACCTGAGTTGAGAGCATCCATACATGTGTGCATATGTACAGTGTGCATATATGCATGGGAACAGATGAACATGAACATAGATAGACAGACAGCCAGAAGATTGTTGGAGAATACTGTACTTGGAAAAAGGAGTGGCCGAGAGATAGCTAGCTCAACTAATGGCGGCACGTACGGACAGTGAGCGCCACCACTATTCCGCGAACGTTCACTCTGCCTAGACCAACGATAAAAAATCCGGCAACACTCACAGGTCGATTCTCAACCCCTTCAGTCTCGGTTTTGGAACTGGGAGCACGAATCCGAAACTGAAGGACCCCTCCTTTAGTCCCGGTTTCGCATCCGAAACTGAAGGACCCCTCCTTTAGTCCCGGTTGGTAATAACAACCGGGGCTAAAGAGGCCTCCTGGCCTGGCCACGTGGGCCGACCTTTTAGTTCCGGTTGATATTACCAACCGGGACTAAAGGTTTTCTTTTTTTCTTTTTTTTTTGTTTCTATTTTCAATTGATGAATCATTTAGGTTTTCGAATAGGTTTTCGAATACGCATTCTACGCTGCTAATAATATACGTATTCTACACGTTTATAATGTTCGAACATTTTGTACAAACTAAAGTATGAAACTAACGTATATATTACATGCATATACATATATTGTACGTTATATTATGAACATATATAATATATATATATATATCAAATAAATCTTGCATTGTATATTCTATCATATCCTTGGGATAATAAATTCACTCCATCTGGTTTGGCTTCCATGTTTCATTCACGTCATTGTAGAACTCGTCGGCGGGGTTTAGGACCAGGTCATTAAGAAATCCTGCTATGGTCTCTTGAATTGCTTTCAGTTGGTCACGTCGTATGACTTTTTTCTTCAACCATAGAGTCTTCAATAAAAGTTAAAGAAAAAGTATTAATATATATATATATATATATATGTGTGTGTTGGTCACGTGATTACTTATATATATATATATATGAGCAATAAAAGAAATTATGAATATATGAATATATTTATATAACGTACTTTGAGGTTCTCTTCAGGAGTTTTTTTGAGTACGCCATGATGAACTCGCAAACATAGTATCCGTAATAGTTGTTCCCCTGTTCTTGCCTCAGAACCCACTTTTACGAGAAAAAAGATCCGGTGAATTGAAAGCACGCATGGTGTTAATTGAATTATATATATATATAAATGTAGTTAGTACTTACTTTGTGTGCGATTACATCTAATGGCGCTTTGCAATGTTTCATGTGGTGTTCCTCAATGAAACTTTTTCAAACACTGCGCCTAATAAAATAAAAAATTAATTTAACCTTTAATAATTGTTGCAGTTAAGAGATCGGGGTATATATAGTTGCTAGAGAGACCAAATTACCCGTGGATAATATCTATCATGTCTTGGTACTTTGTTTGCTCTTTTCTTAACGAGTCTAAGATGCTCAACCGACTATTGGCCATATCAATGACCATCAATATCTAGTGATTGTTGCATATGTTTTTATACACAAATATGAACGACATTAACTAGAGTCAACATATATATATATATGGAAGATAGCTTAACTAGTAAGCAAATAATTGAACATATATATGTCCTTGTTTTGTTGGTTCACTAAGAACCTTATGAGATTTTTCTCGAGTTCAGCTTTCCATTGAGGCGGGGGATCAGGGTGTTTGAATACGACATTTGGATCAATGAAACCAACATCATTATCCTTTCTCTTTCTGAGTTCTGTCATCTCATATCTGCATATATAAAAATATAGTGTGAGGATATATAATTTATATATATACATGTAGCTTTATATATATACACTTTAATAGTAGAAAATAATCACACTTACAGGCAATAAGCAGCTAATGAGACTTTTGTCGAGAGAGTTCAGGTGGCATAGTTGGTGTAATTCTAAAAACTCAACATATATAACGTCATCGCTATGGAAGTAATGTTGGTTTATAACTCTAACAGAAATAAAGTTCTCTCCCCGTTCACACGCCGCCATGTACCACTTGTTTAGCAGGTACATTTGCGTACCCAGTTCATCTGAGGCCTCAGGGTTGTATAGACTCTTTCCATGTTCAAATTTCTTTCAAGGATCCACTTTCGGAGCAGATGGTCCTTCAGCGAGCACTTGGGCAAGGTATAAACCAGTATCCTCATAAAACCGAACCATTTCCTCAAAATTGACGTCCGGTAAGTCTAAGTTTGAACCATATTCATTACGAATGACAAGAGGGGGGACTGATTGTTGCGATTGTTGTTCGAGTTGTGCAACACCTTTCCCTGCTCTAGTCTTTTTCTGCGCTGCCTCAAATGACTTGGTGAGAGAGCGGTCATAGTCCGATTTTGGTCGGGTCTTTTGAGATTCCCGCTTTTTTTGGTCCACCTTCTTTTTTAGAAGATCTGGAGCTAGGTAGAAGTACGGTTTCTCTGGGTTCTCCCTCGCTTCTCGTTGCTTTCTTACTTTTTGAAAAAAACTTTTCACATCTTTTTGTACTGCATCCTTTAATTCCTTTTCACTTTTCTCGTACGACAGTTTTTTGGGAATAATTGGATTAGAGGAGACTTTCTTCTTTGCCGGCCGGTGGGCCAACGACTTTGTTTGCGGGGCGAACCTCTTAGGAGCTGGCTGCTTCTTGATCATCAAGGGAGGCGGGGCAACCGTTGGAGACCTCCTTGGAGGTGTTGGAGACCTCCTTGGAGGTGGCGGCGGTGGAGACCTCCTTGGATGCGTTGGAGACCTCCTTAGAGGTGGCGGCGGTGGCGGCGTTGCATAATCATTGCCCGGAGCACTATGATGATCTAGAGATTGAATAATTGGACTTAGGTTGGCAAAAGGCCCTGCTGTAAGTACAAAAAAGAATAATTAGGTATAAGAAATATTGTTATTATTAATCATGCATGTTAATAGAAAATTAGTGAAAAAATTTATTTCGTTCACTTTTGTTTGCACCTATTGTCTGGCAGTTGCCGAAGCGGCGGTGGACTAGAGACCCTGGGAATAATGATGTAGCGCTTGAGCCATAGTATAAATGTCTTCTCTGCTTCTCCTAGAGTCTTCTCCCCATCACCTCCTAGAATGTCAAGAGCCAGATCACTAAAACCTTTGTTAACTCTATCTACTGAGACGCTAACATATCCAGGTGGTATTATTGTCCCATGGATTCTTGGTGTCTTGGTAGGATCTGGAGGAGAAAAAACACCGAGAGCCACCATGATTGTGGCATTCTCTTTTGGAATATGTAGCTCACATGATGTAAACGTTGCAGTGATGTCATCCATGGGGAAACGTAGTATTGCGTCAACTTGATTTGGCAACTCCGTGGAAGCGCAGCTGCTTTTCAACTGATCAGGGGGCTAATATTAATGTTGATTCCTGGATCTAATGCCTGCCTTTGGGCACTCATTGCTATTTGCACTTGCTTTATGATTTCATCCTGCATTCTAGCTTGCATGTCTTTTTCGCGCTCCTGTGCTTGAAGCAACGCCTCCCGTGACTCACGAACATATTCCTCCAACCTACTGATCCGCGCTGCATCCTCATCCTTCCTTCTCTGCCGGCTTCTGTAGGTATCTCTGTCGTTAGGGAAACCATGCTCCCAAGAAATGTTCCATCCTAAACCTCTCGTTCGGCCACTGTTTTCAGCAGTCCCGATGGCATATGTCAGTTCATCCTTCTCTCTATTGGGCCTGAACGCACCAATAGCTTTAGCTTGTAGAGCATAACAAAATCTTTGTGTTGCTCTTTCGAGTTTTGGGCCATGAACCAGCTTCCCGGTCTCTAGGTCCAGTCTTCCCCCATGAGCGAAAAACTAATTCTTCGCGCGTTTGGGCCAATTGAGTGATTCTGGTGTGATACCCTTGGCAAGAATGTCCGCTTCCATTTTTCCCACTTCGGAATGGCAATCGCGTAGCCACCTGATCCCATGCCATGGTGGTATACCTTCTGTCGAGCATTCTCTTGGTTCCTTCTCACCCATTCCTCACCCTCTTCCGATGTCTTGTACTGTATAAAATCATTCCAGTAGGGCCTCAACTTCGTGAGTGGGCCACTAGTATTGAAATTGGGCGTTAGGTTCTTCTTGACGTATTTCGTGTATAGGGATTTCTTCCAAGTCTGAAATTGTGTGGCCATCTTCTTCATAGCCCACTTTCGAACTAGTTCCTTCAATTCATCATCGTTGATAGTATCATAATCATCCGCTTGCAACGTGAAATGTTGAAGGATATCATCCCAAATTAAATTCTTATCAAGATCAGAGACAAAACTAACATAAGGCTCGTTGATCTTTTGCTTCAATTCACGGGCACTGATCGGAAGTCTGTCCCTTACAAGGCACCCACAGTGTTCCACGAATTTTCTTGCATGTGGACCAAGTGGTTCGCCTATCTCGATATTGAATTCCGATATTATGTAGCGCCCCTCCAATGGATTTTTTGGGCCTCAAATATTTTTGCTTTTCGCCGTTGTGGTCATCGATCCAGAGGGCTACATATAAAAAAGAATAAATAAATATCATGTGTACACATAATAGATGATAGATATTCAAATATATATATATATAATATTCAAATATATATATATAAATATATCTACCTCGCCAGTATTTTCTTGCACAATATTTTCTTAGTTATCTTCAAGAGCCAGGTATTGACTCCCGTCATCTACATCCTGCTGGTCACCATCGGCAAATTGAGTGTCC